AGTGAAGAAAAAAAAAAAAATAGAACTTTAAACCCAATTGTGAATAAATTATAAACTTCAATTGACTAAGAAATGACTGAATCTGAAAGAGCTTATTTGAAAGTGAATAGATTGAATTTTCTCTGCTTTGAGGCAGAATGGAGGCTCAAGGCTCAAATTACACTCAATTATGGGAGAAAAGAGAAAATTACGTTTTTTGCACACTTGAGTCAGTAACTGTGAAATTTGTACTGGCTACAATAATTATAGGCAGCCAGGTGTTAGTAAAATCTCTAGAATAGACTAAGGAATCATTATGGGCTGTTCTCCCAAGTTATTACCTGATCTGTAGCTACAGTGCAGAAGGTTTTGGTTTGAGATCAATAAGCCACATCACAATAAATGGAGAAAAGATTGAAGTTGCACAATGTCTTACCAGAAATCACAATGAAGCCCATTCAAATTTCTGTTCAAAATGTTCTCTTTATATCAGAAAGCAGAGCCAAACTTTGTGGGGTAGAAAAAGTACATTTTTCAGATTCTGGAGAGGCCCAGCCTAGATTATAACCCTTTGACCAAAAGGGGAGAAAAACTGCAGGTTATGCTGAATATCTTCTGTTTGCTCCTCCAGACTCACTCTCCATCTTCTCTGTGCCCTAGGAGCAGATCCATATGGTGGTGTCGCTAGGGCTCCCGTGCCCCTGAGAGGCACTGGCAAGAGCTCATAGGGAGAGCAGTCTGAGAAAATTTTAATTCCTTGCCTTCGTTGCCTTGTCTCCAACTGGAAGACCACAGCTCCTGCCAGGCAGCCTTCACCATACAGCCACCTTCTCTGAGTTCCAAAAGTTACTTTTTCCCTTTGTCCTTCAGTCTGGGGTAGTTATGTGCTGCTAATACTGCCCTGGTTGCCGTAGTGGTGCAATTGTTTAACATTCTGAACTGCTAATGGAAAGGTTGGCAGTTTGAATCCGCTCAGAGGTGCCTTGGAAGAAAGGCCTGGTGATCTATTTCTAAAGATGAAAATCCTATGGAGCACAATTCTATCCTGACAAACATGGGGTCCCCATGAGTAGCAGGATCGTCATGAGTCTGACTAGAGCACCTTTTTTTCCCAAATACTGCCCAGGGGTACCACCCTCTCCCTGATGGATTTCCTAAGGCTTCCGTACACTCTTGAAAATCATTACTTTGTGAACTCTTTTCAAATGACCTGGTTTGATCTACCATCGTTTACTGCCAAGAACCTGGTTCCTTCTCGGCTGATGCTTTAGGGACAGTTGGGGAATGTTCTCTGCTATCTGAGTTGCTCTGGGCAGGGGTTCACTCTGTCATCTGTACTACAGTGAGCACACACTTCCCTTGAACAACCAAGTCAGGGCCCTGGGTGAGAGGGATAAACCAGTTTGTATGTGGCATGCTTACTCTGCTACAAGCTCTAGAGTCTTTTGGCCATGATTCTGGATGTGCCTCAGGATCTTTCAGTTTAGGATCTTTGTTATAAATAGTGATTATCAGTATATATGTGAAAAAAAAATTATAATCAATAGAGAATTTGATTGCCCTTTAACAGAGTGAGGAGTAAAAACTTCTAGGATAGGAATTTCTGTGAGGTAGACCATGGCTGAGGATTCACACTCACACTGAAAGAAGGAAAGAAAGTTGCTATGCTACCTATTGTCTAAGAGAAAGCACTTGACACACGTATGCTGCTGTCCTGTCATGGCCAGCAGTGCAGTATCATTCTGATGGGAGCTGATCTCTCTGGTTCCTACACAATGGTTTCTTGTTTGAGGAAAGCCCAGAAGCCTTAAGGCCTCTCTCATCTTGATCTGCTTGACAGAGGTGACTTCTCAATTCTTCAATATTCCTTATGCCATGAACTCAATGGTTTCATTTTTATTTATTTTTAATTAATTAATTATTAATATTTTCAGTGTTTCCTCCCCTTCCCTCCCATTCCTGGTAACCAGGAAAGAAAGTTTCCTTCCATATATAAACCTCTCCTTGATTTTTTACAATAATGAACTAATACAATATTTGTCCTTCTGGGATTAACTTATTTCACTCAACATAATGAATGTCCTCCAAGTTCATGACGTTATGCAGTGTTTTGCAGATTATATGTTATTCTTTAGCGTTGCATAGTATTCCATTATGCGTATGTACCATAGTTTGGTTATCCATTCTTCTGTCGATGGGCACCTAAGTTGTTTCCATCTTTTTGCTATTGTAAGTAGTGCTGCAATGAACCTGGTTGTGCATATATCTGTTCTTGTTCTGGCTCTCTCTTCTTTAGGATATATACATAGTAATGGGATTGCTGGATCAAATGGTATTTCTAATTCCAACTTTTTAAGGAATCACCATACTGCTTTCCACAGTGGTTATATCATTTTACAGTCCTACTGGCAATGTATGAGAGTCCCAATCTCTCTGCATCCTAACCAGCATTTGCTATTTTCTGTTTTGTTGAACTTTGTTATTAGTGCTGGGGCAAGATGGTATCTCCTTGTTGTTTTGATTTGCATCTCTCTAATGGCTAAAAAGGGAGCCTACTTCTGTAGTGATACTGCCTCTGAAACCCAAGGAGGGGTGGCTATGAGTTGGGTCCGACTCGACAGCACATAACAACAACAGCAACAACAAGGGCTAAAAAAGAAATGGCTAATGATTGTGAACATTTCTTCATGTATTTTTTGGCCACCTGAATATCGTCTTTGGTGAAGTGTCTATTCATTCCTTCCGCCCATTTTTAAATTGGATTGTCTTTTTGTTGTGGTGGTGTTGGAGTTTTCTATAAATTTTAGAGATAAATCTCTTGTCAGATATGTTGTTACCAAATATTTTTTCCCAATCTGTAAGTTCTCTTTTGACTCTTTTGGAGAAGTCTTTTGAAGCACATAAAAATTTAATTTTTAAAAGATCTCATTCATCTAGTTTATCTTCTGCTGTTCGTACATTTTGGATTATGCTGGACAGTCTATTTATGCCACAAATTACCAAAAAACCAAACCAAACACACTGACTGTCGAGTCAGATCCGACTCATAGTGACCTCTCTTTGGGTTTCCAAAGCGGTATCACTACAGAAGTAGATTGCCCAGTGTTCCTTCCAAGGAGTGGCTGGTGGGTTTGAACTGCCAGCCTTTTGGTTAGCAGTCAAATGCCTTAGGCATTACGCCACCAGAGCTCCTATGCCATAAATTAGTGCTCCAAAATTTGCCGCAACTTTTTCCTTGGGGATCTTTATAGTTTTAGGTTTCACATTTAAGTTTTTGATGCATCTGGAGTTAGTTTTTGTGTACGGTATGAGGTACAGCCCTTGTTTCATTTTTCTGCAAATGGATATCTAGTTTTGCCAGCACCATTTGTTAAAGAGACCATCTCTTCCCCATTGAATGGGTTTTAGCCCTTTGCTAAAAATCAGCTGACCGTAGGTCGATGGATCTATTTCTGGGCTCTCACTTCTGTTCCACTGGTCTATGTGTCTGTCATTGTATCAGTATCAGGCTACTGTGGCTGTATAGTAGGTATTGAGATCCAGGAGTTTGAGACCTCCTACTTTCTTCTTCTTCTTCTTCAATAGTGCTTTGCTCATCCGAGGTCTCTTTCCTTTCTATACAAAATTAGTGACTGTTTTTTCCATATCTTTAAAGAATGGTGATGGGATCTGGATTGGGATTGCATTGAATGCATAGATTGCTTTGGGTAGTATTGACATTTCCATTGTTTTTATTTTTAAGCAGATACATAATCTGATAACTGAAGTTTTCTCTCTTCCTTTTCTTTTTAGGTGATAAGTTTTTTCCCAGAAATTGTGTAGTAGCTGCTGGGTCTGAAAGGTTTGCAATTTATTAAGAACTAGAGTCATGTTTTGTGAACTGTAGTTTTTGGGAAGCATCAGGTCAATTCTGACTCACAGCGACCTGATGTCACTGGGTAGGTTTTCTAGGCTGCAGTCTTTGTGGAAGCAGATAGCCAGGTCTCTCTCCTGCAGAGCTGCTGTGTGGCTTTGAACCACCAAGCTTCTGGTTAGCAGCCAAGCACTAAACCGTTTGTGCCTCCAGGGCTCTTTTATAGTATGGAGACTAGAAAAGTACCACTGAATATTATTTTTGCTAAAATGAAGTTAGACTTTATCTTTCTGGAAGGCTTGCAGAAACTGAGAGGCTATAGACCTGACATGGGAGTATAGTATGGTTCTTTCCTTAAGCATGAGATGAATGCTGGTCTGTTTGCAGAAGCCCCAAACCAAAAACCGACTGCCCACTAGTGGATTCTGACTCATAGCAACCCTACAGAACACAATAGAACTTCCCCATAGGGCTTCTAAGGCTGTGACCTTTATGGAAGCAGACTGCCACATCTTTCTTGTTTGGAGCAGCTGGTGGGTTGAAAGCCCTGACTTTCCTAGAAACCCAATAATGATTCAGCAATTCTTATTGCCTCAGTTCTTTCTGGGGTGTATGTAAGAGGGCCTAAATTCTAAGTACACTGGTGCCACAAGTCTTTCTTTAGTCAAAGAAACTCTTGCAGCCTAGTCCTAGGTGATGTGATACTTTGGACAAAGATGTAAATTGGTTTATCCTCCCAAGCTTAGCCTCTGGTTACAACCACTTCCAATAGCCAAAGGTTCTGTTACCTCAGGCAGGTTGATGCCTCCTCTGTTCTTACCACTGGGGACTCCATGGCGTGAAATGAAACTTCACATTTCACAGATGCAGCACCCAATCCTGGAAAATGTTTTTTTCTTAGCCTACCTGAAGAAAGCTGAGGTGGAAAGAGCCCTGGATTGGAATTCTGGGTGATTAAGTCCTTAATTCTTAGGCATGAACTGGTGGTGGTGGTGGTGGTGGTGGGGTCCTTTAAGCTTCCCTCTTCTTCCTTGCCTGCAAAGTGAAGAGTCAGGCCTCCTTAAAGTTTCCTGTTTGCCAGTGTTGCTAGCAGCCTAAGAGATAGGTTAAGGTTCCTGATTAATGGTCTCTGGCCCTTTAAATCTGGTGTCGGTAGCATCATAGGCGCTGTCATTATTATGTACTTGTTGCCTATAGGGACCAGCGGTGAGCTCAAAGGTGGACTCCACCAAAGGGAGGCCAGCCGTAGCCTGCCATCACCACCCTGGCTTTTTGTAATTGGAATCTGCTTATGGGCCCAAAGGGAGCCTATTAAGAAAACACCTATTTCCATACACTCTGAACTAACACTCTAAACAATCTGTGTACTTGCTGAGGAAGACCCTTGAGGGATTGGAAATTCTTTTTCTGGGTGACATTGAGAAGCAGTCACATGATTTGGGTAAGTCTCACTATTAAACAAGCCTCCTGCCCACCCAGACTTCGGATGAAACCTTGTTTCTGCTAAGGCAGAGGTAAGCGTCCTGGACAAGGCACAAGATTGTTATGCACAGATGAGCATGAGATTCTGTAGTTGGATATATGCTCTGAGACAGTTTAGACATAATTTATAAAAATGTATCCTTTTCTACGTAATGTTGTTGTTGTTGTTTGCCGTCGAGTCGGCCCCGACTCATAGCGACCCCTCCTTGGGTTTCCGAGGCAGTATCACTACGGAAGTAGGATTGCCCAACCTCCCTTCCGAGGAGTGGCTGGTGGGTTTGAACCGCCAGCCTTCTGGTCAGCAGTCAAGTGCCTTAGGCACTATGCTACCAGAGCTCCTATAGCAGGATCAAAAAGGCAGTTCAATGCTACAGACCTGAATGGAGTGTTTAAAATGCTTCCTAATCCACTTTTTAAAAACCCTTCTGTCTCTTGAAAGAGAGAAAGTCAGGTAGGATTTTGAGAAAGACGTTAAATTTTAAATTTAATACAATAAATAGATATTGAGTGCTTTTAGGCATACGATAGGAGTGTTCCTTGACCTCAAGGAGTTTATCCATCACTAGAAAGGCAGGTCAAAGTGTCTCTATATGACCAACTAATAGAAAATAGTATCCAGTCACCACATGCTGTCAAATTGACCCTAACTCCGAAGTGTGTCAGAGTAGAACTGTGCTCCCTACGGTTTTCAATGGCTGATTTTTCAGAAGTAGATCCCCAGGTCTTCTGAGGCACCTCTGGGTGGACTCAAACCTTTGACCTTTCATAGCACCCAAGTATATTAATCATTGGCACCACCCAGGCATGCCACAAAATAGTATACAATTGGGTTTTTAAAATGTGTCCTCCCTTAAGTGAAGCGGAAGAATTTGGAGTAATTGGAAGCTCTTCATGGAGGAGGCTCAGTGTCAGAGGGTTCTGGAATAGCAGAATTTGGAGAAATGGAGATGGAGTAGAGGCAAAGTCTAAGCAGAAGGACTTGCAGGCACAAGGACTCAGAGGGGGAGCCCTGAAGGGATGGGCTTCATCACTTAGGTTGAGGTAGGAGGTGAGCCTGAACAGCAAGAAGAGCCAGACGCAAACCAAATCACTGCCATCAAGTTAATTTCAGCTCATAGTAACCTTTCAGAACAGAGTAGAGCCTCCCCATGGGGGGGAGCTGACTGCCACATCTTTTTCCCATTGAGCACCTGGGGGGTTCCAACTGATGACCTTTTGCTTTGCCACCAGAACTCCTTACTAGAAGGACAGAGATCCTAAATGTCAGCATGGGCAATTAAAGCTTGGTAAAGCACTCAGTTGAGTTTCTAAGCAGCTCCTTTGGGCCTTGTTCTTTCAGGGCCACTGCTTCTTAGTTTCACATGTATCTCAAGGCACATACTCTGAATCATTTGCTGCTTTGAATCAGAACTAGAGGCGCATGCCAGAGAGTGTTTCTAAACAGAAGCTTTGCCTTTCTGGGGTAAAGCTCCCAAATGGGCCACAACTTTTCCATTTACTATAAGATGGAATATTGTAGACACGCATCAGAAGGAAAGCAAGTAGCTTGGAAGGTCAAAATTGGACCCCACAGGCAAGTTACCCTGAGTTCCCAGGCCCCCTCACCTGCTGAATTGAACACACTGTCTTTGAGGAGTTTTCTCATTTCTGGGGGGCAGGAGGGAGGAAAGCAATGGGAGAACTGAGGGAATCCTGTGGCTTTTATCTCCTCTCTCTGCTAGGTGAAGAGCAAGGAGGGCATTAAATGCCCTGGTTGTTTTTATTTTTTATTTTTTTAATCTTAGTTAACTTACCTCAAGAGGCCTCTCTAGATTTACATGCAACTGCTTATTCAGGTCACCAATAGTAACACCACAGTGACTCAAGAAAGTTTCCATAGTGAAAGGACACATCCATATTTAGGACTTTGGACACACCTTTGCACAGACGTTATCATCCTCCATGATGTCTATGCAAATATTTTTTCTCTTTTTTCCTCACTTATATTGCCACCAATAAAGTCAGGACACCCACTAGAATATAAGGATAGCACATACTCTATCGCCCTGCTTATAGACAACCAGTTGCCATTGAGTCAGTTCTGACTCATGGCAACCTCATGTATTTCAGATAAGAATTGTGCTCTGTGGTAGTTAAGTTGTGTCAACTTGGCTGGGCCTGGTTTTGAGTGGCTGGGCAGCTGGATATAGTGATTCCCCTTGATGAGACAGGTAATGAACACCATGGTGGAATCTGCAGTGAGCAGCTGAGTAGCTGCCTTAGCGATGTGGTCAGCTTCCAGTACATAAGGAGAAATGTTGAGAAAGGTTTCTGAGCTTTTTGACACACTTGGACCCTGTATGTAGCCAAGTGTTCATTCAACAGCCTGCCGTGTTGTCTGCCGATCTTGGGATTCTTTCTGGACTTGAACCAGTGGCCTGTCATGTTGTCTGTTAATACTGGGATTGTGCCATCGTACTTGTTGACCTTGGGATTGTCAGCCTCAGCAGTCAGCAGTTGTCTGAGTTAAGAGATGCTTCAAGCTCAAGTGGGCTGGGAGCAAGAGGAAGAGCTGAAGCCCAAGGTCAAGAGGTTTTCACCCAGGTCCTAGAGCTGGCACTTTGAACTCAGACTTCTAGTCTCCTAAACTGTAAGAAAATAAACTCCTTTTGTTCAAGCCATGCATTTGTGGTATTCCTGTTACAGCGGCACTAGATGATCAAAACATACTCCATAGGTTTTCAATGACTGATTTTTTTTTTTTAATTTTATTTTATTTATTGTGATTTGGG